GCCCCCACTGTCCCCTGGAAAGGTAGGAATCTGGGTCCTAAGTGAGGAATTCAGAAGTTTCACTCATTCACTCATCCATTCAGTCGGTAAATCTGTACAGAGCACCTGCCCCGTCCCAGGCGTGGGGTTGCAACACTGGACAGACACTCAGGACAACTGTAATTCTAATTCAGCAACATCTGGTCTGCTTCTGGCAGGAATCTCAAAGAGAACTCACACAGGCAACAACTACGTCATTCCACCCATTCATCCTCAAAAGCATCCAGAGAAGACTTCCTCCCATTTCTTCCTCCACATACTCTCTGCCAGCCTTCAGACATGCTAAGATGGATAAGATAGTGGAGTCTTCTCTGGACTATTCCCCAGTCTAGGGAGAAGACAAACATGTGACCAGCATCCATTCAGCCTGACCCGCGCAGTGACTGGTGTTTCCCAAAGCCTGGCTGGAGAGGCCCAGAAACCACGCTCAGAATCCTCTGAAATAAAGCCAGCTCCTTTCTCTTTTGGCTTCATGGGGTAAAAGATGAAAGCTTTTGTCCAACCCATCTTTCCTCCGCTTCTTACAAACAATTTCATCCATTTCCCTGTCCCCTCAGAAAGTTCTGTTCGTGCCATGTAGGTAGGTAGAGATGGCAAGCATGTGACTGATTTCTTTGTATCTAGGGCTTTGGTGTAAGCCTCCACTTCTCACCTGGGTACGTATTTCTGTCTTCACTTCTAAAAAGAGGCTGTGTGTGCTGGGAGGAACCACACAGGACTTCAGTGGAAAACCCAGGCTCTGTCCCCATTTTGACTCTTCTATGACCTGTGGTCTTAGATCAGTCACTTCCTTTTTTCTCTTCAGGCTTCTCAGCTGTGGTAGATTACATATGGACACAAATTCTTTATAGACCCTTCCATCAGGAGGTGGCATCTTCCCTACTTCCCTAGATCCCGCGGCTGGGGGGGATCCAAGTCACCATCATCTCCCCCTCACTGCTGCAAAACCTTCCTCGAATTCACATGCTTCTCCACTTCCTCTGGCAAACAACACATGGGAGCTCTGATGACCTGAAACATGGGTTGGATTGTGTCATTCATCACCCTACACCCCACTCATGGCCCCGTGCCTGCCTGACCACCAACAGCAAGATGGCACCATCCCGCACCCTGTCACCTCCCTGCCCTCTCTCCTCCTTATTTACACTGGCCTGGCCTCACAGCTTGGATTGTGACCCTGGTCCCACACAGCTGGTCAGCTGGAAAAGGCTGAAGCAGAAGACCAAAGTAGAACTTGAGTTAGAAAGCTTACGAGATTGAAGTTTCACTTTAAGACAGATGCTCAAGTGTTTTTCAGAAGCTAGGTGAGACAGCAAGCTAAAACCTATGGAAAGGAGTTTTCCCAAGAAGTGGTGATGGCGGTGGTGTTCAGGAGGAGAGTTTCTGGAGGAGGGTTAGTGGTCAGAAACCTCAGCTGTCACCCAGCAACTGGAAAGGGAATAGGGCGAGACAGTCACCGCTCAGGCCACTGCACTGACAACGTTTGCTTGCATACTTTAATTTTCCCTTGACTGTAGCCCTCTGATCCTTCATTAGTGTGGCAGTTCCTCAGGAGGGAAGGACCATGCCACATTCATCTCTGTAGCTCCTTGTCTCCAAAACTGTGCTCTGCATAAAGATGGCAGAGAAAATGTTTGGTGAATGTCAAAAGCAACAGTCCTTCCAGCCAGTCCACTCCTGGTAGTAGCATCCCACGTTTCCTAGAGAGAATCTTCCTTCCCCACTCTGGACTCATGTGTTCCATGAAGACATAAGTTCCTCCCTGGCTCCAGGGCTGGATACGTGCCTCAGGCCCAGCCAAGCCAAACTTTACCTTCTGGTCACAGTGGCTGGTGGCCATTTCAGAACCAAAGAGACAAACGAGACAGAAGTAGAGAGAAAAGCAAATGCTTTTTCTGCTCAGGCTGCAAATAGTAAGGATGCAGCAAGCCTGAAGCCACTGAAGGCTTAAAATCAAGCCAACATATTGGAAGATGGAGACAAAATATGGGACAGGGGTCAAATCCTGATGACGATGGTTTAAGCCCCTGGATCCAGCTGTATCTGAGGCTATGTCATCAGACTCTTGAGTCATCTGAGCATTTAAGTTCTTTGTCTTGCCTAAGGCAATTAGAGTAGGGTTATCTGTCGCTTGTGTTTACAAAAGTCCTGACAGACCAAGGAATGAATGAATGGAACAGTGAGCAACTCTACCAGACAACTTGTGTATCAGAAAGGGAAAGAGTCTATACTAGGAATCAGGATCTCATCCTCCATACTATGTGACATTGGGTAGGTTCCCTAATGTCTTTGAACTTCAGTTCAGAACTCTAATTCATCCACTTATTCTCACAAATATTGATTGCATTTGTTGTGCCAGGTACTCTGCTAGGTGTTGGCAGTACTGTGGTTAACAAGACCCTCAGGGTTCTTACCCTCATGAAATTGAAAATTAAGTTCAATCCTAGAAAAATAAAGTTTCACTTTTGTACACCTGATTTTGTCACTGTAAAAATTGTTCATGATCTGGCTCGGCGCCTATGGCTCAACGGGCTGAGGCGCCAGCCACGTACACCTGAGGTGGCGGGTTCGAATCCCCAGCCCGGACCCGCCAAACAACAATGACGGCTGCAACCAAAAAAATGGCCGGGCGTTGTGGCGGGCGCCTGTGGTCCCAGCTACTTGGGAGGCGGAGGCAGGAGACTCGCTTGAGCCCAGGAGTGGGAGGTTGCTGTGAGCTGTGATGCCACGGCACTCTGCCCAGGGGGATAGCTTGAGGCTCTGTCTCAAAAAAAAAAAAAAAATTGTTCATGATCTAAGTCTCTAGCACTGATAACTGGTAGCTGCTACTATCCCTCCAGTGCCTTCTCAGCTGATATTGTAAGGTTAGCTAGAGGAGGGGCAAGGAACAAAGCCTCATGTAAGGGAGGAGGTGGGTACTCCAGCCTTCACTGCCTTCCCAGCACTCATGGCCAATTAGAAATAATGTTTACAGGTTTAATTACATAGGACACTGAGCTAGAGGGTGTAACAACAGCCCAGCATGGGCCTGGGTTCAATCCCCTGGGACCTTGAACTCTAAGAATAGCCAACATGCCACCAAGTACTTTTTTTTTTTCTGGCCTCTGGCAAAGAGGCTCTTCTGAGCTAAATATGTTCATCAGCTCCTAAGAATTAGGCTTAGAAACAGAGCTACTTAAACTTGGATCTCTTTCAATTCTCGTTATAAGGAGCTAATAATGCCTGCTACATGTGGATTTTCATTTTTAAAGGGCATTCATAGTTTGGGCTAAAGTGGCAGTATGTCAAAAATAAGTCCTACAAAAGAGGGTGAGTTTAGCAGGCCCAAGAAAGGCAGAGTCCTAGCGTACCTCCTAGTCTTTGATTTATTCACTCACTTAACAAATATTTATCAAGCGCCCACTGTGCATCAGGCACCATGCTGGGTGCAGCAGCAAACCAGACCAGGACTGGGCCATCTTGGAGCAGTAGCCAGCTCATAGGAGGGCAATCCCCAGAAAGAAAAGGCCCAGAGTCAAATACTCAAACACAAGTCCACTTCTGAGTATCAGGAGAGGCCACGTGACTAAGCCCAGGAGGTGTGACTAAGTCAACCTCTACTAATACATCAGTTAATGTGCTCTGCTCAAAACATAGCACAAATTCTCACCTGTTCATTATTATTGCTGTATTTGATAATGACCTCAAAACTTAGGGATTTGTACATAAGGCCACTAAACTGTACTGTTAAATTCTATGTTACAGATATTTTATCATAACAAAAAAATATGTAAAGATTTTTAAAAAAAACAGTGGTTTGAAGTAACCATGTTACTGCAAAGTGCACAGATTCTACAGGTCAGAACACTGGGCAGGGCACAGTGGGAATGGCTTGTCTCCGCTCCACTAGGACTGAACTGCAGCTGAGAAAACTGGAAGGCTGGGGGTGAGGAATATCTGGGAGCTGGACATGGCTCTTTCATTTACATGCCTGGGTCAACTCAAAGACTAAGAATGTCTACTTGAGCACCCACATGTGGCCTCTCCATGTGGTCTGGCTTCCCCACAGCTTGGTGGCTTTAGGTGTTGGAACAGTGTTCTAGCAGCAAAAACAAAAAGACAAAACCTGCATCACATTTATGACCCAACCTCGGAGGTGTCATTTCTGTCATACTCCATTAGTCAAAGTTGTCAGAAGCCTAACCAGATTCAAGGCTAATGGATTCAGACTTTGATGGAGGAGGATTAAATCCATTGTAGAAAAACAAGTGAAGGATGATAGTGTTGTGTCCATCTTTGAAAAGCACAATCTGCCCTACCATTTTTTTAAATGGGCCAAAAGCAAAGAATCCGTTTGGAGAAACAGAGCACTGGACGAGACCTTAATGAACACATAATCTGACCAAGCAGTGATGAGCAATTTACTCCGGAGAATCCTTCCCTCAGGCTGGTGAGGGCCAAGGGTATTAGGCTTGGCATAGAGTTGGTGATAGAATAGTTCTATCACCTCCTAACCATGTGTGTGAACTCAGGGTCCTAAGGTAAATTTAAGCACGGGAATCTGTCCATCTTTAAAACGAAAATAATTATTTGTCATATTTCATCAGTGTTGTGAGAACCAAGTAAAATATTGTATGTAAAAATTAATTTGTTGCAAAAATTGACACCATAGAAGGATACCCCTTTTTGACAATGCAACTGAGCTTATCTTTCTCATGACTTTTTCTCTAGGGCAGTCATTCTCCCGTTCTTTTTGTTCGCCATTTTAAAGGTGGGATTTTGGCTCTAAGTCCTACGGTCCCTCCACGAAGCCTGCAGACACCGTTACAGGCAGTTTTCAAAAGCCTCGTCACCGTGCTCAGCCCGCACAGTGCAAGCCCAGGAGCCACCTCTCCCAGCGGCTTCCGCTTCAATCCTGTCTCCGCCCCTTTCCCATTCGTAGCCCCGAGTGACGTCAGAAGCGGGCGCCGACGCTACAGTGCGCGCGCCTGCGCTCTGCCCTGGCGGTGGGCGAGTGCGGAATCGGGATCGTGCCGGTCACCCTGCTGCTGCGGCGGAGTCTGTAGCCTGACCCGTCTTTAAGCTGGGGACCATGAACCGCAGCCGCCAGGTGACGTGCGTGGCTTGGGTCCGCTGCGGCGTGGCCAAAGAGACGCCAGATAAGGTAAGGCCGGGTCGATGGGATTCACGGGGAGCAGCTTCACGGCATGCCGGCTCAGCCCCGCCTGGGGAACCCGCACCCGAACGAGGGGACTTGGCCAGGCTAGTGTGACTGGCTACGGGAGGCCGATTTTGGCCCGATTGTCGTGATCAGAGCTCAGCTCTGAGGGTCTGGATGTCTTGGGCCTGAGCAGTCAGGGGCCGCGCCCTATCTCCAAGTCCAGCCCTGTGCCATATTCGCACGCACGTGGACTTAACTGGAAAGGGAGTGGGTTACTCCCGTTTTGGATAAGAAATACCCCCAGAGGCTTGACAACACCACAGCTTCACTCGCACCCCAGGGCATTTGCAGACATAACTGAAAAGAGACACAAATGGGAAAATTCCACCTTCCACTCATGTGCTCCAAGTTCGACACTGGTGTGGAGACTAAGATGTCATTGAGGCTGGAAGTAGAGTTAGGAGTTTCTTGAAGTAATTCACATGAGATGATGATGGCAGTGGGGATGAGAGGTAAATGTGACACATTATGAAAAACCTACAGGAGCTGGAGACTAACAGAGGTGAAGATGACTTAAGTAATTTATTCATCAAATGCCACGTGCTTTCTGCACGCCAGATATTGTTCAGGGTCCTGGGATAAGCATGAACAGAACAGAAAAGTCCCCCAGCTCCCTTTGTGGAGTTGGCATATAAATATGGTATGTCAGCGGAAGTACTATGAAAAAAGTAAAAGGGTTGATTTGAATGTAATTGAGTTAGGCAGTGATGACAGAAGTAGGGAAAGGGACAGGAGTGTGAGTAGCTTGAACATGGAGTTAACAGTAAGGAAGGATTGGAATAGTCCCAGTAGTTTCAAATTCCACCAGAGCACAGACTGTTTTATTCGCCACTGTTTCTCTAGTGTTTGGCTAACAGTAGGCACTCAGTGCATATTTATAAGATAGGAACAGAAAATTATTTCATATTAAAAATTGTTAAAGGAGAAAACAGTTGTTGTTAAAAAGAAGCATGTATCCTTTCAAATACTTAAAGACAGTGATTGTCAAATGAGTCTACACATTGAAAACTCTTTGGGAGCTTCAAAAATATTGATGCTTATTTGCCACTTCTGCGTATCATGATTCAGTTAGTCTGGAGTGCAGTCTAATATTTTTAAAAGATCACCTTTCCTAGAGGATCTTTTAGAAATGAATGTGCATACAGGTTTGGAAACCACTGTTTGAAGAGTTTATAAGAAGAAGAGATTGAATTTATTTTATGAAATCCCAGGAAGGAAAATTTCGACCAACCAAAGAAATTGGACAAATAAGTATCATTTAAATAAACTTAAGAAATAACCGTTAGGTGGGTGTGGTAGCTGATTCCTATAGTCCTAGCTGCCTGGGGGCCTAAGGTAGAAGGATGGCTTGAGGTCAGGAGTTTTAGACCAGCCTCATCTCTTTAAAAAAAATTTCTTAGGGTGGCGCCTGTGCCTCAAAGGAGTAGGGCACCGGCCCCATATACCAGAGGTGGCAGGTTCAAACCTGGCCCCAGCCAAAAGCTGCAAAAAAAAAAAAAATTTTTTTTTAATTCTTTAATTGCTGGAGCTGTTCCAAAATGAAAATTCATTCTCAAGAGAATTTCCATATTACTAGAGGCATGTTAGTAAAAGCTGGGTGATTGATTGATTGATCATTGATTATTAAGCATTGCCACCATGGGCCAAGCACTGAACTATGTGCTTAGGTCTCTTTCTGTCTTCAAAGAGCTTGTGGTTTAGTAATGATGGGGTGTTTAAAAGGTACTAAAGCATTGAATAACTAAGGGAATGTTGGTTTTCAAATAGAAAGAGTGACTTCAGTTTGAACTTGTTCATGTAAAAGATGTCCAAGTGAGAAGTCTTCTAGACAGTTGAGGACGAATTGAAGTATAAGATACAAAAGTAAAAAAGTAAAGTTTGGCATAATCCGTTCAGAGGTGGTAGTTTTAGTGTTTGAATGAATGGGTTTTGCAAGGACTTGAGTCTGGCATGTGACTACTTAGCAGTGATAATAGGGAAAAGAACAGAGGACCAGTGCAAGGATGGTTTATTAAGGAGTGGCTCCAGGAAAAGAGGGAGAGGTGCTCTGGGAGGAGCCAGAGACAGAAGAAAACCAGGTGGGCTGCCACAGAGACACTTTATAAAAATCTTTCTTTCTTTCTTTCTTTCTTTCTTTCTTTCTTTCTTTCTTTTTAAGACAGAGAAAAGTGCAGTAGAATGAGCCTAATTTTTGAACAGTTCCAAGGTGGGAAGGGATCTTAGTTGTAAGGACCTATTAAAAACTCCATTTTCTGGCTCGGCACCTGTGGCTCAAGTGGCTAAGATGCCAGCCACATACACCTAAGGTGGTGGGTTCAAATCCCCAGCCCGGGCCCGCCAAACAACAATGATGGCTGCAACCAAAACATGGCCGGGCATTGTGGCGGGCGCCTGTAATCCCAGCTACTTGGGAGGCGGAGGCAGGAGACTCGCTTGAGCCCAGGAGTTGGAGGTTGCTGTGAGCTGTGATGCCATGGCACTCTACCCAGGGGGATAGCTTGAGGCTCGGTCTGAAAAAAAAAAAAAAAAAACTCCATTTCTGTTAAATATAGAGTCTGGATTGATGTTTGATTATTGATGAGATCACTTGAAGTTGTATTACTTTTGTTTGCAAACTTGTTTTTAATTCACCAACTTTCTTAAATCTATTGTAATGAAATGTTTGCTGTCTTCTAGGTAGAACTAAGTAAAGAAGAAGTAAAGCGACTCATTGCTGATGCAAAGGAAAAATTGCAGTAAGTTTAGGAATGTTGATGTCTATGGTAAAGTACAGATGACATGTATATCTTAAATAATGATGTCATTGGAAAGTGCCATTTGAATGTTTTTTTTTTCTTTTTGTCTTCATTCTCATAGAGAAGACGGTGGCAGCGATGAAGAGGAGGTAGGCCATCCTTCAGAAGATGGCATGCAGAGTGCACGTACCCAGGCTCGACCAAGAGAGCCCCTGGAGGATGGTGACCCAGAGGATGACAGGACGCTAGATGACGATGAGCTGGCCGAGTATGACTTAGACAAATATGATGAAGAGGATGATCCGGGTTAGAATTCATTTACTTTTATTTGTTTGTGATTACAAACTCAAAGTATTAGATCGTGCTTGTGTATTCCAAAAGTTTACTCTGAGATTTTATTGTCCTTGACATCAACTATATAATCTACTTTAAGACTTATACAGAGATCATGTTTCCTAAGCTAGTTTATTTCCAGGTTCTAAAGGCTTTTTCTCTGTAGCACCTTCAATCACGATTGAAGGAGCAAGCTAGAAAATATGGAAAGAGTTCTATGTTCTCCCAGATTTCATTTCTTCATTGGAAGATTATAAATTCTACAGCTATCAGAAATGCCTTTCAAAGGTCAACTGTAAATGGCTTTTAAATTCCTGCTTGTAACTATGCAGTTTTCTTTCCCAGAATGGATGATTCAAAGTTAGTTGTAGGATAGATGGTTGGCTCTAAGTCCAAAGACAGATGTTTTAGAAAAAATGTTTTTGTCTGAGTGACTGTTTTATTCATTTCAATTTGTGAATAATTCTTACAGATGCTGAGACTCTCGGCGAATCTCTCTTGGGTCTTACGGTCTACGGGAGTAATGATCAAGATCCTTACGTTACTCTGAAAGATACAGTAAATATTTACATCCCTTTTCTAATTACACTTATTTTTAATTTTTAAAATTGTATTTTTAGAGACAAGGTCTTACTTTGTTGCCCAGGCTAAACTGTGGGGGGGGCAATCATAGCTCATTGTAACTTTAAACTCTTGGACTCCAGCTGTCCTCCACCTCAGCCTCTAAAAAGCTGGGCCTATAAGAGCACACTACCATGCCCAGCTAATTTTTTGATTTTTTTTTTTTGTAGAGATGAGAGAGATCTCACTATGTTGCCTAGGCTGGTCTCAAACTCCTGGGTCTCAAGCAGTCCTTCCACCTGAGTTTCCCAAAGCACAGAGATTACAGGCATTACACTGAGTCTTCATAGGACTAGCTAGTTATGCTCTTAAGTGTTTAAGAAATCTTACTGAATATCTACTTCCAGCCAATGACTTATTTTCTCTCTACTTAGGAACAGTATGAACGTGAAGATTTCTTGATTAAGCCCACCGACAATCTTATAGTTTGTGGCCGAGCTGAACAGGACCAGTGCAATTTAGAGGTGCATGGTAAGTGAAGCACATCTCTTACCAAAAGGTTGTCTAAGTAACTGTAATACTTACTATTGTGAGATTTTAGGTGCAGATCCTGTTGTACCTCATTTAAATTAGTTACAGTTAAATTCTGTACAGCCTACCCATTTCCTCTCTGTTATACTGATAGGAGCAATGATGCTTAAAATAAGACACACTTAATGACATTAGAAGGAAATTCAAAAGCCATTACTGCTAGGTAAAAATTCTACCTATCTAATTTATTCCCAGGATGTAGCCTGCCCCAAAGGGGAGCATGGACACTGACAGATATGCCGCCTGCATGCTTGCCAGATAAGTGGTCCTGTCTTCTAGTTCACTCGCTATAGAAAAGAAACACTCACAAGGTCTCTACCAGGAATACTTACTTTGTCTTCTAAAGATAGAGAAAGTCTGTTCTTTTGAGTGAGCAGTGATTTCTGATGATGACTATTCTGATGGAATAACATCTCTTTTCCCAATCTTTTCAGTTTACAATCAAGAAGAAGATTCTTTTTATGTACACCATGATATACTCTTGTCTGCGTATCCTCTGAGTGTGGAATGGCTGAATTTTGATCCTAGCCCAGATGATTCTACTGGTAAGTGGAAAATTTAAGGTTGCTCAATGCTTCTTAGTCCCATGCGCTTTTTCCTACCTATGTAAAGTAGGTGTTCTCTTTAATGTTTTCAGAAGCGTTGCTGATACTGTTACTTTGTGAAGTTACACAGTTTTTAGCACACCATCCCTTAGTTGCTTGGGGTCTGTATATCTCCAGGTTTCAGATATGAGCTAAGGAGGTTGCTATTCCACGGTATGCTGAGGGACAGGGCCTGAAAGCCTTTTGGGCTGTGGCACTGTTAACGTCCCGTGAAGACTCGGTGTAAAATGGCATGCTGGGTCTGATGTTACCAGCTTCAGTTAAGTAGCATAATCTGTTTTAGAAAACATCAGATAAAACTGAAATGGAGAGGCTTGTCACAGATAATTAGATTCTTATGTTAGTCTTTTTTTTTTTTTTTTCTGAAGACAGAGTCTTTGTCGTCTTCAGTAGAGTGCTATGGTGTCATAGCTCACAGCAACTTCAAACTCTTGGGGTCAAGAGATTGTCTTGCCTCAGCCTCCCAAGTAGTTGGGACTATAGGCGCCCACCACAATGCCTGGCTATTTTTTAGAGCTAAAGTCTTGCTCTTGCTCAGGCTGGTCTCGAACCTATGAGCTCAGGCAATCTGCCAGCCTTGACCTCCCAGAGTGCTAGGACTACAGGCGTGAGCCACCAAGCCTGGCTCACATTAGTTTTTTTAACCACATCTGCACACTATTAGTTGCCCCCATCTATACTTCTTAATAAGCCTTGGAATACTGATAATACTGATGTCTTATATCTTGTTTGCAAGGTTTATTCACATCCTCATCTGATCTTCATCCCCATAAGACGCCGTAAGGGACGTAGGGAGGGGTTGTTTTCATTGTATAAGTAAGGATACTGGAGCCAAGATCAAATCTCTGTTACTCAAATTGTGGTTCATAGACTAACAACAGCGCAGCATTTGGCATCGCCTGGGAGCTGGCTGAGACCGACTCAAGACCACTTAAAGGAGAATCTGCGTCGTAGCAGCATTCACCCGATGCCTATGCGTGTTTACATTTGAGAAGCACCACTCTAGCCCATTACTCAGTCTGCAGTGTGAAGCATTTGATTAGAAGTTATGTGTGGCTTTCTCTTCATTTTGTAACCCTGGGTGCATTTCTTCCCTTCCTATAGGAAATTATATTGCTGTGGGAAGCATGACACCTGTTATTGAAGTGTGGGACCTCGATATAGTGGACTCTTTAGAACCCGTCTTCACACTTGGAAGTAAACTTTCAAAAAAGAAGAAAAAGAAAGGGAAGAAGGTAAAGAACCTAATAGATGTTGGATGACAAGTGGAGATAAGTTTTCTGGGGAATAGGCAGTGGAGGATGTGAAGAATATATACAGAGGGTGCCAGTGTTTATACATTTTTGCCCCCCCACCCCGTACTTGTCCAATCAGATATTCTTGGTGAAACAGGACAGGTAGTTAGGAAGTTATTGTAATTTCTAGTTTCAAAAAGCTCATCCAAGGAGAGCTTATTTCTGATTACATAAAGCCTCCATTTGCATATTTTCTTTCTTACACAAAACTTCTTCAAAACTAGTGTGTTAGTATGAACAGCTACTATATATGAAGGACTGGTCAGGGTACATTCTTCGTGCATGATAGCTGCCAAAAATAATATACTAGTTTTGAACCTTTAAAAAATTTCTGTTTAGCCATTAGTATGTTGAGTTCTAGATAACCATGTATTAATTTCTTTAGCTTTTTAAACTGTTGAATTAAGAGAGGGGTGGGGAGCAATATTAATATTTTTAGAATTTATAGTACCTAGATTAAGAACTACTATAGCTGGGCCTAGCTGCAGATACCTTACTTCCAGCAGTTTGGGCGGCTGAGGAGGGAGGATTGCTTGAGTCTAAGGGTTTGAGATCAGCCTGGGCAATGTAGCAAGACCCTGTTTCAAAAAAATAAAAATAAAAGAACTACTGTAGTTTCTTCCCTATAAAGAATATTTATCATGGATACCTAACAGGGAGACAAGGTATTTATTTCTCAGTTCTTCAAGCAAGTTAAATAATACCGAAAAAGTAACCTTAAGATTTAAAAACCTTGCATATTAACATATTGATTTTATAATGGGGGACTTTAAAACAAAAAGTAATTAAAACAATTATTACAGAGTTCCTCAGCGGAAGGGCATACTGATGCTGTCCTTGACCTTTCATGGAATAAGCTAATCAGGTAAACAGAAACGACGTTTGAATGATTGTAAAAGACTGTCGCCATGTGGTCGCAGTCACGCCCACGCCTGCCCCTGCTTCCTGTGTCATGTGGGCTCTGTGTCTGTCCTGTCTTCCCTTCCTGCGGTGTTCCTGTGGGCAGGAGCTCTGCTGTCTGCATCTCTGTGTCCCCCACATCACCCCCCAGCTCTTCATAGGTGCTCATGAGATGTTGCTGACCAAGTGTGGTCCTCCCCACCACTGGAAGACCAGCAGAGTGTGTTGCAGTGCCGTGGGGCAGGGGCAGGATGGTATTTCTTCCCAGAACACATTTTTCTAACCTCATTTAGTTTTCTTTCACACATCCACATTCTCTTTTATTCTTTTTTCTTAAGTTATGGCAAAATATATAAAATACAAAATTTACCCCTTTAAGTCTATAGTTCAGTGGCTTTCAGTACAATCAGGTTGTTACACGGCCATCACCACCATCCAGCTCCAGAATTTTTCCATCTTCCCAGACTGAAACTTCATATGCTTTAAACACTATCTCCCCATTTTCCCTACCCACTGACAGCCACCTTTCTGTTTTCTGTCTCTGAATTTGCCTGCTCTGAGTTACTTCGTGTGAGTGACATCATATAGTATTTACTTCTTTGTGGCTTGTTTCACTTAGTGTAATGTTCTCCAGCTCATCCACTTCGTAGTATGTGTCAAGGTTTCCTTCCTTTTCAGAGCTGCATAGTGCTTCCTTATGAGCATATCCGACCTGTGTTACCCATTCATCCATCAGCCGACACTGTGTTACTTCTACCTTTTGACTACTGCAAATAATGCTGTTGTGAACACGGGTGTGCACATAGCTGCTCAAGTCTCAGCTTTTGGTTCCTTCAGGTTATGTACCCACAAGTGTTATCGTCGGATTTCGTAGTAATTCTGTTTTTAATTTTTTGAGGAGCCACCATACTGTTTTCCATAGAGTCTGCATCATTTTGCATTCTCACCAGTAGTTCACACAGAGTTCCAGTTTCTCCATATTCTCCCAACGTTTGTTATTTTCTATTTTTTTTAAAATAATAGCTGTTCTAATGGCTGTGAAGTGGTATCTCATTGTGGCTTTAATTTGCATTCCTTCGTAGCTAATAATGTTGAGCATCTCTGTGTATGTCTTCTTTGCAGGAAGTGTTTATTCAAGCCCTTTGCCCATTTTTTAATTGCGGTGTTTTTGGAGTTGGAGTTGTTGGAGTTCTCATAACTTCTGCCTACTAACCTCTTAGGCAATGCATGATTGGCACATATTTTCTCCCATTCTGTGGGTTGTCCTTTCACTTTCTTGATGGTATCATTTGCAGTACAGGTTCTTCATGCCAGTGAAGTCTACTTTTATCTGTTGGTGTCTTTTGTTGCCTAACCCAAGGTCATGATGATTTGCATCTCTGTTCTCTTCTGACAGTTTTATTGTACTAGCTCTTGTATTGACGTCTGTGATCCATTTTGAGGTTTCTTTGTGTGTGTGTAGTATGACATAGGGTCCATCTTCATTCTTTCAAATGATACTCAGTTGGTCCCTCAGCCGTTTGTTGAAGAGACAGTTCTTTCCACCATAGAACATTTAATTGTCTTGGCACCCTTCTCAAAAATCAGTGACTGTAAACTTAAGGGCTTATTCTGGACTCTTAACTCTATTCTGTTAATCCTTATGTCTGTCCTTATGCCAGTACCACATTTTTGTGATTACTGTAGCTTTTCAGTAAGTTTTGAAATCAGGACATGTGAGTGTTCCAACTTTGCTCTTCTTTTTTCAGTATATTGTGGCTATTTTGGGTCCCTTACATTTCCATATCAGTTTTAGAATCCGCTTATCACTTAATGCAAAAAGATAGCCAGGAGGGATTGGGAGAATCTGTAGCTCAGTCTGTAGATGTAGTGTTTCCATATTATTAACAAAGTTGTCTTCCAGAGCATGAATGTGAGTGCCTTTCTGTTTATTCGCTTTTTGTTTTGGCATTTTTCATAATGTAAGTCTTATGTGTCTTCTGTTAAATGTATTCCTAAGTATTTTATTCTTTTTGATGCTATTGTAAATGCAATCCTCACATTTAATGCTCTTGATTTTTAAAAGATTACCTCGTTTTATTCTTCCCTTTCTCAGAAATGTATTGGCAAGTGCATCAGCTGATAATACTGTCATTCTGTGGGATATGTCCCTAGGGAAGCCAGCAGCTAGTCTTGCTGTACACACAGATAAGGTATGGTGATTTAGTGAATCAAAGGGAGTCTCGAAAAATATGGGACAAGGCTCAGTGCCTGTAGCTCAGTGGCTAGGGCGCCAGCCATATACACCAGGACTGGCTGGTTCCAACCCAGCCTGGGCCTGCTCAATAACATTGACAACTCCAACAAAAAAATAGCCGGGTGTTGTGGTGGGCACTTGTAGTCCCAGCTACTTGGGAGGCTGACCGAGAGAATCGCTTAAGCCCAAGAGTTTGAGGTTGCTGTGAGCTGTGACACCATGGCACTCTACTGAGGGCGACATAGTAAGACTCTGTCTCAAAAAAAAAAAAAAGAAAAGAAAAGAAAAACTGGGACAAATATTGGCTAAAAATAATCCAAACCTTTACATATGTTCTGTCATTGGATTTTCAAAAACCCTGTGTGGTAGGTTTTAGAGGTGCAAAAATGGGAGCAGGAGCGTTAGTGCCCTGAAACACGTTTATGGAGGTTCCTTAAAGAGGGGCTGAGAGTGGGGTGTCGGTCACAGTGATTTTACAGGCGCTAGCAGATCCATTCCTGCAGCACGCCCGGGAGATCTAATTTACTGATGCACATTTGGGGACTTCTGGAGCCTGTGGAGTTGGCCTGATGTATTTGGCACTTCTCTTTTTTCTTCCAAATGTCCTGTAACATTTGAGGGACATAGTATTCCACCAAAACCAGTTTGGGGAATGCTGCGTTAATGTCTTTTAAGTGCCATCTGTTACTTGGGAGTATAGTTTGCCTTTTTGATTATGAAATAGACATATGTTTCTTTAAGTAATACTGAATTTCAAAAGGAAAAATTTATAGAACCAATGCCAAGTTGCTTCTTGCCAAAGGTAACTTGACCAAGAGCAAACACAGATCTCTTCGTTTATGTTTCCTCCCTGTAGGTCCAGACTTTGCAGTTTCATCCATTTGAAGCACAAACTCTGATTTCTGGATCTTATGATAAGTAAGAAAGCACATCAGCGTTACTGCCACTCTGTTTTTATCCTCCGGAACAAATTCAGGAAGTACCCCTTAGTGTGCGACAAGGCCAGGCACAGTGGCTCATGCTTGTAATCCTAGCACTTTGGGGAAGCTAAGGCAGGAGGAGCAATTGAGGCCAGGCTGGGCAACATAGCAAGACTTCATCTCTCCAAAAAATAGAAAAATTAGCCAGGTGTGGTGGGCACACACTTCTGGACCCAGCTTTTCAAGGAGATGAGCTGGGAGGGTCACTTGAGCCCAGGAGTTTAAGAATAAAGACTGACTACAGCTTTGTCTTAGCTTCTGCTTCCCACCTTCAGACCCAACATGTAAAAAAGGAGCACAGGTATGAAGGGAAACCCCCTGTGGTGCGCTGCAGTGGCCCCAGCTCTTTACCTCTTACATCTGTGCCCTCTGTCATGCAGCATGGGAGTTCTTCCCACATGTGTTCTCAGGACAGGGTCACAAGCACAGCAAGGATGCCAAGCCTCTTGATACCTGGCCTTAGAACTAGCACTTTTCTGTCTGGTTCTCTGGGCTAACTGGTCACGTGGAGCAAGGAGATGGACTCTGCCTTTATGGGAAAAACTCCCATGTTGTGTGACAGAGGGCACAGACCTAGGAGGAAGTGAAGGCAAGAGAGAGCAGACGCTAAAACCAACTTGTCATCAGACTTTATTTTGATTTCTTATCTTTCTGAGAAGTGATATGTTTACATTTTTTAGTTGTGACTCATGCACAATTACAATAGTGTCATCCCCCCCCCCCCCCCCGCTGCCCCAAATATAATGACCTGGTTGCAGAGAATAAGTGTGGCTAAGATGTGAGCTACATGGTTCTGAGCTTGACCAGGGAAGGGGATGTTAGAAATTGCCCTAGACTTTGAGAATAGAGAGGATTCATCTTATACGTGGACAGTTTGACCTACAGGCATTCAAGACCACTGTGCCTTCAGAGCCACCAGTGCCATCAAGAGTTAGGGCCAGAATCTACCAAATAGTGAAACTCAATTCATGCTTTATTTTAGAACCTTAAAACAGCCTTTAAATAACTGAATCTTGACTCTGTGATGCTGTTTTGTTACCATTTCATTATACATAAACATAAAACACAGTTCTCATAGGAGAATTGAACTGTTCAAACTCTAATTTTGCCTGAATGTGTCCAGATCCGTTGCTTTGTATGACTGCCGGAGTCCAGAGGAGAGCCGTCGCATGTGGCGGTTCAGTGGGCAGATCGAGAGGGTGACTTGGAATCACTTTTCACCTTGTCACTTTTTGGTAAGAATATACATGTTACTGTTTTGCTTTTCTAGGTTACTGACAAGTTATTTTTCTTTAATTCCATAGTAGAGAGAATCTCCGAGAAGTTTTTTCTATATTAATAATGTGATGTTTTGAGTTTTTAGGTTAAAAAAAATCAGATTTTTTTTTTAAACAGGAGAATGGCTCAGCCACCAAAAAATGCTGAGCATGTAAATGATTTTGCTAATTGTTAACCATTCCAAAGTATGTCACATTTTTTTTACTTACTGAGTTTAACCATTGTTTTCAGTGTGCAGTCCTTTGAAATATTAAGCATAAAATTATTTTTTAATGGTTAAATCAGAGAAAGAACATACTCTTTTAATTAAATCCTCATATTTAAATGGAACTCCAGTGAATGAGAATGTTAGCCTATAGCAGCACTGGCTCCCAAATAGGAGGGGAAAAAAAGGTAAAGTCTTTCTGTGAATGCCCTCAGTTGTCTGTGGGATCAACAGTTTTCCACGTAGCGTCAGTGAGATTCCACTACTATGTCAGTACATGGAGAAATAAAATCCAAGCTTTTATCCAGAGGGGAAGACATAAACCCAGTACTTCCCAGTTTTCCTAAAGTAAATATGTAGTCCTTTGTAAAGGATGTAGAGTTTCTATAGATAGCTTCCATAAAAGATATGCATAGTTTTAGGGCAGCACCTGTGACTGAAAGGAGTAGGGCGCCAGCCCCATATGCCGGAGGTGGTGGGTTCAAGCCCAGTTCTGGCCAAAAACTGCCAAAAACAAAAAATAATAATACGGACATTTTAATTAGCTCCCTGAAGTAATGGTTCTGAGACACTTAGTCTCAGCTTTGTGCCCTTACTGGAGGAAATGCTGTTTCCAGCCAAGCTGCCTAAAGCCTGATTCCATTTTACAGTCGTCCAGAATGAAGCTCAGTTACAGCTCAGTGTTACGCTTTGGCTCTCAGCAGTCAGGCTTACGAATTTCCTGAGGTTGTCTGCTAACAAATGGTCATAGATAGTAAAATCACAAATATTTAGGAAAGTGGGAGGTAAAATGGTTCACCTTCTTCCTCTGGTCTCAAAGGAAGAGACCACCTCCTTCTCCTCTTCCCCAGCCCAGCTCCAAGACCCCTCAGTTGTCCTTACTAGCCATTGCCATTAGCCTGTGCACAGGCTCAGGTCTCTGTCTCTCATCCTTGACTCTGTCTGTCATTTCCTCGCCTTTTCTTGATTGTGTGACCACCCACTCTAATCTGCCTTTCAGTCCTCTTCTCATTGAATTTCTCTGTTGAAAAAGAGAATATTGAATAATATTCACATTGAATATCGAATGCCATATTGAACGTTGACAGCATTGACCTTCCCTGACATTCTTCCTTCTTCCCTCCTCCCTCTCTGACCCACTTCTGTGGTCTCCTCCCCAGCCTGCACCTGGAGTAGCCGCGCTCACCAGGCCCCTGCTCTTTAACCTTTACACTCCCAGAGTCCCCTGTGCTCTCATGGATGTAACTCTCACCTCTGTGCTTCCACATCTCTAACTCCTTTCCCTACCTACTATGGGAGGGGAAGCACTATGCTCATGTCCAGAAGCCATGTAGATACCTCAGCTCAATTAGTCCTTATGAGTGTAAACTCAGCTCCAAAAGTAAATTCTTTACGTCCACATTAATTTCTAACAACAACAGTAATAATTAGCTCCACCGGTTATGTCAGATATATAGCTGATTTTTGCAGTGGCTTATAACCTGACCCGTCTTTTACTCTTTCCAGGCCAGTACAGATGATGGCTTTGTATATAATTTGGATGCACGTTCAGATAAGCCAGTTTTTACTCTTAATGCCCACAATGATGAAATCTCTGGTGAGCAAGAATACATTTCTTTTTTTTATTAACTTAGGATTTAGTAAATATATTTCCTATAGTAAACTATATTTTAAAGTGAGATTCTCTGAACTTACCTTCCTACAGGTCTTGATCTAAGCAGTCAGATCAAGGGTTGTCTTGTGACTGCTTCAGCTGACAAATATGTGAAGATCTGGGATATCTTAGGCGATAGGCCAAGTCTAGTTCATTCTAGGGACATGAAAATGGTAAGAATTTCCCGGGGCATCTTTGGTCTCTGTTTATTTTGTTTCTGACCTTATCTTCCTTTGGAACTTGTATTGCTTGCCTTTTCTCTCTGAGTCACTGCATTAAAGAATATGGATGTGTCAGCCAGGCACGGTGGCTCACCCCTGTAATCCTAGCTGTCTGGGAGACCGAGGCAAGTGGATTGCTTGAGCTCAGGAGTTTGACAACAGCCTGAGCAAGAACAAGACCAAGACTGTCTACTCAGGAGGCTGGGGCAGGAGGGTCACTTGAAGCTAGAAGTTTAAGGTTGCTCTAACCTAGGCTGATGCCACAGCACTCTAGCCTGGGCAACAAAAAAATTTTTAAAAGTAAAGCCCCAAACATTAAAAATTTTAAAAAGACTTAATAGTGACCTCTGGTGTCACCATGACTCATTTAAAAGGAGAGCTAACGTTTCTGGGAATACATAGCAGATAAGATTGATTAAGAAATGTCTAATAGACTGATAACGAAGATGAGAGACCTGAGTGGTCAGAGCAGGTGCACGTCCCGTGGAATGGCCATCATGCTGAATGTCTGGCTTTGTAGATCAGTAGTATGCCCTCCATCTTGACTGCAAACTGCATTTGCAGTGGGCTTGAAAGAGATACTGGTGAGTTGATTTTGAGTAAACATGTTAAGTCATAGATTCTTAGAGACAGAGTAGGAATCTAGACATATGGCTATCCGGAAAGACTGGAACCCCTGACTTGCTATTCTTTGCTCTCCAGGGAGTTCTCTTCTGTTCTTCGTGTTGCCCTGATTTGCCATTTATTTATGCCTTCGGAGGTCAGAAAGAAGGGCTTCGGGTCTGGGATATAAGCACAGTCTCTTCAGGTAAGAATCTTTGTTATTGGCTCGGCGCCTGTGGCTCAAGCGGCTAAGGCGCCAGCCACATACACCTAAGGTGGCAAGTTCGAATCCCCAGCCCGGGCCCGCCAAACAACAATGATGGCTGCAACCAAAAAATGGCCAGGCGTGGCGGGCGCCT